TTAAAGTCCTGTGTTTCCATCAAAAAGTGTCGTTGATTGTTGAATTTCTCTTCATGTGCCGTGAAATTTTAGAAACATTTCGTCCTCAGTGCTGCACAACAAGCTTTGCTAAGCATTTTTGTTCAGTGTTTGGGGAAAAGATTAAGTGTAGGCAACATTGTTCTTTATGTACATATGTAGATATTTTTAACATTACCTTCAAATTTCACCCTTTTTTGGTAGCCATTTTAACCCTTAAATAATATCTCTGGGTATGTAGTGTGCTTCGTGTATCGTAGACAAAAAAAACAAGCGTGCTGGAGATAGTGACCATTGTTCTTGAAAATTTATGTGGTAAAAGTGTAGGTAGCCACCTAAAAATGTAACTGAACAGTGAGATACCTTGTCCAGCTTTTAGTCAGAAGAACAATGCTGTCGTTTGTAGTTTTAATTACTGTACTGATCAATCCCACAGAGTTGTGCACATATGCTCCTAAGTACTATAAATACTGTACAGCTCATCCAGGGGTTCATTTTGCTAAACAGTGCTTCTGTTTGAAACCTAAGGGATCTTCATTTTTATTGTCCTTTGTACAAGTGTGCAAAATGTACTCTTTCCTCAGATCTCTCCCCCTGTGGGAGTGTATGCCAAAAAGATCAAACGTCCATTGATCTTTTTCAAAGTGAATGAAATCCTTCAAAACCGTCCCTTCATAGTGTACAGTTCGTATTCTCATGAAAAAAGACAAGAAAAATATGGATGTCCCGTTGATGAATGGATCCATTTTCAGTCAAGAGATTGTTGAGGCCTACATGCACAGCACCAAAATTGAACATAAGGAAGCTTTATTGAGCTTTATTTCCAACTCAACTTTGCTGTTGCTGTCAATCTCTGTAAACTGGCCAATTCATGGAGGTGTCTATCTGTTGACACCGTGAAGCAAGACTTGACCATTGTTTCCTGCTGCAGGGGTGAGATTTCTCAGACTCTCTTTTAGGATATTCCTGATTTCTTTTTTTTTTTTAAATCCTTCTGTTATAATCTTGAAGATCCTGTGATTACACAAATTTATTGATACCATAGATCTGTTACTGCTCTGAGGCTCTTAAGACCTCTGATGATTATTTCACGGATATTTCATTTTCCTTCAATGTCATTCCTTCAATTACAGCCAGAAAAATTGGCATTATAAGCCAAGTTTATGTACTCAACACTATTGTGTTTGAAAGCACACTTTCCCTGTTGTCCTTTAGGACCAATAAGTTTCTGCCTCAAGTAGCAAGTAGGTTATAAATTCCAACCAAGATGCTTGTCAAAGCCTAAAGACACTGTTTGTTGCCTGGGACTGATAAGGTCATGAAGGGAAATATAAGTATCTATGGGGGGTGGTTGCAAGCACAGATAAGGTTTTGGTTTTGAATTTTGTCTTGTTTATGTTCACTTACAAAATTAGGCCATTAAGTTAGTGGTAAGATAATAGGCGATTGTGGGATATATTTGTAACACAGTATTCAATGTTTTTATCATTTTCACAATCCTGATGGTGCTCTTATAACCCATTCGCTGTCCTGTTTTTGTTTCTTTCAGCATCCCAATTTTTCTTTTAAGTTATTCACCAGTCCACTGCCTTCTGTTAGTCTACAGGAGTGTGATTTCTAGGGACTGGTCAGGATTTCGAGATTTTTGACTCCAAACTTGTGGATTATAGAGCTACTTTTGCCCTTTGAATAAATAAAAACAAATAAGTGCCAGATTCACTGAATCCTAGCCATTTGGTCGAGAACTCATCCAATGTCAGCTGTTAAAGTCATAGTATTGTGATAGATATTGCTTACCCCATAATCTCATCCAAAGCAATAACAGAATAAGATAGGCTCTTTAATGTATAAAAGAAATACGAGTGTTCAAATGGACCAAATCCAATACACATACAATCGAATCACAACATGTACTTTCGGTTTTTGCTTTGTTTTGTTTTTGGTGAACTCAAATTCTCTTGCAAGCTTGTTATATCAGAAAAGCTTTGTGTAGCCTGCTCCGTTGACGGTCACTTCATGTCGCATACACATGACAAAAATGGGAAGATCCTACACTCAGTTGTAATGGTTGAAGCGGAATGAGGATGCCATCAAGTGAAAAGTCATTGGCTCCACCAACATGCTGTTTAAAATAATCACAAAATGATGTTACAAGTGCCAAATTATACATATTGCAATCAAATAGTTTATTGGTAATGAGAAAGCCTTGTATTCCATATACATGTATTGTTGAATTGTATGTCACTTGTGTATTACAATGGCTTAGATATGGGTCTACCCGGGGGCTGTCAATTTATTCATAGTCTGATACATTATTATTATATGAAAAATACATGCCCAAAGGAAGAATACCTTCCCTTAAAAAATTAAGGAAATAAAAAGAAATAAACAGAAGTAAAAGGTGGATGCTTGGTACACCCCGTATAATTTTGAGACCGAAAACCACTACGTATACATGTACTAATGATGTGTACATGTACTAATGAAGGGTGTAATCAACATGTTTTCCGGTCCAAAGATCTGGCTGAGGATGATCCTGTGGTCTGCGATCATTTAAGCAGCTCGGTATTCCTTCCTCCCCGGGATCTGCACCCTTGGCGTATTATGATGAGCATGTGGTCGTGGTTCATACAATCGAACGTCCTTTATGCATGAACACATCAACACCGTGACGCTCCCGTGCCATATTTTCATTACACGCGCATGTACCTGCTCTGGTATTTTACATTCATTGTGAAAACTTTTTTTTCGTGTGTAGTTCCTCTACCCTGCACTTTGTTTTGAAGTGTTTCCCTGTGGGGAATTTGTTGGATTGGATTTGTCAAAATGGCGAGGAAACCACGAAAATGCAGTTCATTTTTAGTACTGTACTCGGTCAGTCGATTGCTACACTGGTGGATATATTACTGTAATAATTTATTTACAAGGCAGAAAAGCGACAAATACAGTCTTAAAATCGTTTTTACAGATCGAGTTGACTTGTCCGTGACAGTTGTATTCGTGCCTGGGTCGGGATTGCAAGAGGTCACTTGGCGGCGGTTGAGGTATCGGCCGGGGAGGGGCATTCCCGTGAAGGCAAATACATGCATGTACTATCCACTGGCCTATTGAATTTTTATTTTTTGTTTTAAAGCTCCCTTTTTAGGCTATAGTTATTTGACAAAGGACCTATAAGCTCACCACTAAACAGACTACATGTATACTGTAATTGAAATCTTTTCCTGTGCAAGCATAATCACTGATGCCACGCGCACGACACACTCGGGTTTCAACAAACTAGTTCCAGACTGCAAAATTCTCACTTGGCGAGTAGCCAACCCCTTAAAGTGGAATAATAAGTGATGGTGTATATGTACACTTGGTATATTGCCAAACGATTTTCTCGGTTCAATGTCGCATGTGAGCATGGCGTGGGCCTTATTAAAAATACTCGTCTATCTCAAGCGCTTTTTGTGGTAACAACTTCAGCACACCACAGTGAGTAAGCTAGTTCATGCGGAACGTCTGGCGCCGGAGAGTAAAATTTACGTTTTTTTCAAGCCTCGATATAAAAAAATTCTTTATTAAAGATTACATCCGTTTTTATGCTATCCATTGACGACGTTGGCGTGTGGTATGTGGCTGATTGCATTGTGTGCAAATGAGCATATCCTGAACGGCCCGGCCCCGTGAACTTCTTAACTCGTGTAAATTGTACGTGCGTACAACAAAGGTACAGATAGAAAGGGAGTGCTCAAGGGCAATCGACTTCCACAAAGTGAACGGGAAGCCATTTGAAATGTTTCCAAGCGGGGGATTTCTCAAACACTAAGCACCGTTTGCGTGTTGTTTAACACGTAAACATGTTATGTATTTACAAGGCTGGTTCCCAAACAACGAAGGAATAATTTCAATGAGATGAAAGCCACGCCTTCTTTTCGAAGGGTAGGAATACACCTGCGGTCAAAATGGTAGAGGCCAGTCTGGCTTTGCGCCAATATTTATTTATAACTCCTTTAAAGGGGTGTGCATCATTACTTTTACAAGTTTCATTGTTTATAAGCCACCTGTGAAAAGACTGGGATGAATTCATGGATTTAACTCACAAACCTACCGATCCGAATTGCAAATGATGATGTCACAATTAATCGTTTCAATCTGCTGATGAATATGAGAACAGAAATAATAATTATTTTGATTTAATGTCCAGATTACTTTTTAAAATTGTGAATTGATCGATGCTCAGCAGATCATGACACGAAAAACAGCAATGCATAGCCTTCTCTTAATACCAGTGGCGTAAATCTGTGTTGGAAATTGTGGGGGATGGGGAAAGGTAGGGGGTCTTTTGCCCAGCCATGGGAATTTGAAAAGTGGGGGAGAGGGCGACACCATATGCACTATATAGAGGGCGATATCCATGATGAAGATGTACATCTGTAACGTGTATCAAATTCATGCAGAACCTTACATCAGAATGATATATTTATGGCTTTTTAAAATTACTTTCCCCTTTTAGTGATACAGCAAACATTTTAGTCGTTGGGAAATCTTGATAATTCTTCACAATTTGCTTTAATGTTTTTCTCCTGAAAAAAGTGTGGGGATGATTCATTAGCCCATCCCCCAAAGTGTGAGTGTGGGGGATATACACCCGTGCTTAACAGGTTTTCCTTTTTTCTTAGTAAATTTCCCTGCGTGCTCTATGGAAAAAAAAAGTGTATCATAACTGGCATTAATTTTTCTTGAGATTTATCGCAGGTTGCCATGAGTGGCAGTTGAGCCGCAGACCCGCAATACAGTACTTCAACCATGGAACCACCATCATTGTACATCGGGTGGGAGACAGTCATGTGGAGTTCTTGTTTGTGTATACTGTGTGGGGCGTTCCATTTGGGAATAGGTATGCATGCATTCACATCGAGTAGGTTACTTTGTGTTTCATGGGGACAAATTCCAGATAATGTTGTGTCGTTTGCAAAAGGTGAATCGATGGGATTATTATTTTGTCTGAGGGGTATCTCTGACGCCGACTTGTATTAACCAATTTCCTGAAGTACCAAAGCTTTGACCGCAACAGTGATGACTCTTTCTCACGCAGCACGCTGCAGCTACATGTGTAGGCGTATTTCCCTTGAGGCTCCTAAAGTTATGTTTAACTGAAAATTTTTCGTAAGTCATTGCATTTTGTAGAACCCACCAGTTTCATTATTGTAGAAACGACAGAACCATTTAATTTGTTATAATGTTGCTCAATCAGTACACCAACTGCTTACAACAAATCCAGAGAAAGGATTAATTTTGAGAACCTTGTTTATCTATTGTTGATAGCATAGCCCCTTTAACCAGGTCAGATTTCCCTTCATGAGTGCAAGGGTAATAGTCATCGGAGAGAAACCGCATTCCATGGACATGTACATGTACATGTAAAACCTAGACGCATACAGGTTCATAGTGCGAGCGCACGCAATCATTTCCTGGAAAATTTGCAGTTGGCGAAGCGGCATTTGCGAAAAGTGTTGCAAAATTAAATATCAGCAGTGTTGAAACTGTAAGAAAATTGTTCATTTTTTCAGGTGATGTACTCCCATAGCAATATAATCTGGATATGGCACGATATAATTGTACCTCCGAACTCAGTACACCCCCCCCCCCAAAAAAAACAAAATCAAAAATGCAATGCTCCAATTGATATTCACTGGCTGAAGACTTTTCAGAAGTTGTCCATTTTTGGCAAACATGGCCTACCTTGTAAACAGGTAGGCTGGGCTCGTATGCGCTGCATACTATATATCGCTTTAGAAACGCCATATCCTATTCAAAATATCTTCCGGCTCAACTTGGAACTCAGCTTGGGTTTTTCCTTTGTGAAGAGGAAGATGATATCGAATTCAGATACGGAAAAGTGTTCCAGGGCTTTCCCAAATCCAATAAAGCCAACAACGCCGGATGGTGTTGGAGCTTCGCGATTCGCTGTACACCGGATGTTACCTAAAATAGTTCAATAAACCTTTGACAGTCTCATTGCATCACATATGGCAATGCGGGATTGGGCGACACTCAAGCCATGAATTGAAAAGGACAAACCATTAAGTAACATATTTATTCAAAAGAATTCTTTAGTACCTAATTTATTAAGTCACATATGCAAGCCTTTTCTACAACTTACAAGAAATAATTTTACGTATAAGAAAACAGTCAAAAGGCTTTGAAGAAGTCATTGTTGACAGTAAAATAAACGAGATGCGTCAGGCTTTGTGATGAATGAGCTTCAGTTCTTTATTCTGATTAGCCATGGTTCAATACAGACACTCGCGCCCTAGGAATTCCCCAAATTTTCCTTTTTGTGGTGTGAGCTTCTTTTGTGTGTGTGCGCAAATATATTCCAAATCTTTAATGTTATACCAGGGAGGCATTGTCACCCATCCTCATCATTTATTGCAAAAATGTACTTGCTTGTAAAGCGGAATCGTCACAACAGTCTCACGTACGTATCAAATTATACGTGTATTAGTGTGGAATTTCCTTATAGTCGTCTGTAGTTAGTTTTGATTTGCTCCGACTTGGCGAAACATTGTTCTTTTTTTTTATGTTGCCGACCCTGCCTGGAATTTTGTAACAGATAAAACATAGTTAAAACTGGTAATCGTAAACATTTCTGCGTACAGCAGGTAGCCCCCTTAGAGACCGACTTCCCCTATACCACTCAAGATAAAAAAGAGAACAGTAGAATATGTTTTTTAAAAAGAGCGATTTTCCACGAGGCCGTACAGAAAAAGGGTAAAGTTAATCTCTATGCAATATGTTGTATAGCTTACTTCATTTTATCGTTTATCGTGTTTATTTAGCATGCTCGCTTTTCATTGTGCGTCTCTTTAAAAAAAATTTCCAATTCCGTCTCTTAAACGAATCACTTAACCAAGAAATCATACCTATGTTCTTGGCTCGGGTAAAACAACGAAAAATTGACAAGTCGGAAATTCGACATTTACTGAGTTCGTTACCCTTCTAATCGGCATAATGCCCATTGTTCGACCCAGCAGCTGAAATGCGATATCATTCGAACTTTGACACGCATCACGAACAAAAATGAGTACGTCAAGAATGTCCGGATTAGTAATAACCGCACCTCGGTAACTCTATTAACGTTGGGTTTCATCTTCAGTTTTATTATGTACATCATACACCTATTATATAAACCTACTGCAACTCTCTATATCCAAGAGAAAAGTTACACTATACTTTTTGAAGCTTGTACCATTTACACAGCATTATGGAAGTTCGAAATTCTTATATAAAATAACTGTATTTAAGACCGCTCACGTACCGGCAGATATTCTCTCTGCCTGAGATAACTGTTGTTTTCTGATACCCTTGGTTCAGGTAACGAACGTTGATTGGTTGCTTGTGTGCCAAACAACAAAGGGTAACACGAAGCAAGTGCAGAAATTACTCCTTGTTCAAAAGTCATTATGCAAAATAGGCGCAGTTGTTTCAATCAAATAAGTCCACAGCTATGCAAACTATGTTATATTTCCAACTCAGAACAAATTATAAATTGTCCAAACATGGTTAAATTCAAAAGATTTTCCAAATCTAAGGTCGAATAATGGGATGACAAACTCGTGTAGTACGGTTTCAACAAAGGTTGAGGATAAATCCCTCTCACCACGTACCAAATGAATTTTTCAAATACATGTTTAATATAACTAGCGTGAGCTGTGAAATGAAACTCTCCCAGTGACGACGAGGAGGAAATGTGCATAGTCACAACGTGTACTGCCTAATCGAGAACTCTTACTCTGACCAAAACCTCTCTCAGAATTTGAACGTACAACTATCACGGCCTTAAATATTATGTGAATTCCCTTAATTTATCAAATAACGGAATATTCACTATCAGCTCACATTATTACGCACGTTCATAAACATGTCCACCATGAATCATTATGAGCTTGGTATTTACAAAATTGATCAATCATCTACAAAAATCCACTGATTATGCGGCAGCAGAGGTAGCTTGTGTAAGACCATTTTTGTAATATCATACAAATAAGTTTATTGACTCTTTCCAGAGATAACAATGCCCCTGCCCACAAGAAGTTTATTGAGCAAACAGGCACAGGCCATCAGGCCTGCCGATACATCATTTTCTGCTCTAGGTGTGAAATGGTCACGCATTCAAACATGTGCCCCTGATAGCATCACAGATGGGTGGTTCACAACCGCACGTTACGTAACAGTCCAGATTTGAATGTAGGGAAAAATACTACCAAGGTCATATCCAAATAGTAAGGCTAATTTACACGGATATTCAGGTACACGTGTTTTAATTCCTCCGTGGTATAGGGTTTTCATAAATCCCTGATGAAAAAAAAGGGCACTCGTTGTTTACATATATGCAGTCATGCACATGTATACGCTGCATGTAGTTTCAGAAGGGCAGTGAGCCTGTGACTCAGCCCATACATTATCATATTGCTCATTCACGACAGAAGTTCTAAATACAATAATTCTGCCAACGCGTCTCAGTTTGCACGTACCAACCAGACATCCTTGTCTACATCACTAGGAATAGTACAGGCATAGGGTATCAATTTAGGTATGGCATTCGAACACTTTCCAAACACTTCAAAGTCAAGAGAAGTACCATTATGGTTCATTTTGTTCATTCATTTATCCAGGCTACCATCATGCAATACCAGCTCAATTCCTACCAGAGAACTGTTTCTGGCCAACTATTAATATGAAATAAAGGTAATCTTTCGTAAAATCTGTGTGACTTTGGCCCCTTTAAAGGAAAAAATACAGTGTATGTAATTCAAGAGGACAAGAGTTCTCTCCCAATTCACAGCTACAAACAGCGGATTATAATATTGATAGCCATTTTCCATGAACATGTTTCGATTAGCAACGAAAGGAGTGATCAACTTAGTAGCCTCCAATACTAATTACGGGAAAACACACACACTTGCTAAATTGCACAAAGTAACAATACCATACTTTCATCTCTGTGTTCTTGATATTCCCTCCGATTGATTCAAACTTTTCACTTTCCTATAAGTGTAGATGAATCTTAATTAGAAGGCAGATGAAAAAAATCGATGATGTGTGCGAGTTGCAGAAGTTTTGCAGCAATAACCAAATAAAAATGGCAATGGGGCATTTAAAAAGTTGCCTTTTAATTCATTCAGGGGCAATGAACCAATTTGAAGAATCTGAAACAGTTTCCATGTATTGTGGGGAAAAATACAGCAGGTACATTAGTTATAAATGAACACATGTTCATATGGTGTGAAAAATATTTAAACTGTCTTTTTTATACTACTCATTGTACTGTAAAATTATTTTCCTATTTGTAACGCTAGCAAAATCTGCCTGCTGGGCCATCTGTGTTCTTATTCCTCCATGGTTAGACTGTCTTATTTTGCCCTATCTGTAGACTTAACTCAATTTCACTTGACCTTAAGGATAAAGGATTAGTTGATTGATGTTCTTATCTCATCATACAGGCAACACTGATCTACCAATGTCCCAGACAATGCTGAAACTGACATAAATGCAGGACAGCAAAACTTAAACATAACAGCAAAAAATCTGCAATTACAAGATTTGTTGAAGAAAGCAAACAAATGTACTGGGCATCAAGTTTTGTGAATGCACAGAAAACTAACAGTAAGTTATTTACGTTATGCGCAAGTCGACAGCATGATTTTAAAGGAAGAATGTTAGTCCCATGAATGTGGTTTAGATAACAAAACTATCGATTCTACACTGTAGCCGTTTCACAGTGCACAGTGTCATTCCAATAATACAATAAAGGATTCCAATAATACAATAAAGGATTCCAATAATACAATAAAGGTCAGGCACTATATAAATGCCCAACACACAGAAGAAATTCTTTGCCTGTAAAGAACTTATTGTTAAATGAGGAACTTGTTTACATTATAAGTATTCTGACTGCTCCTACACTGTATTATGAATGAAAAATTATTCCACCTTGTAGAGTAGTAGGCAAAAATTTGCTCAGTCCAGTAAATGCATGTGAACATAAATGTACCTAGATGTAGTAATAAACACAATTCCAAGCACGAATGGCTGTTGGCCTCCACATTCTCTGGAAATTAAATGTCCGCTCTCTTGTTATTGCTCAGTAACCCCACACTATATACTGAGAATTAGTCATGGAAACACAAATGTGGTTGCTGAAAGGGCAACCTTAAAGGGGCACTCAGTTTGGCTTCAGAGGACGCCCAGTAGGACCATGCACATAGGATATGAAATAAATAGGCAATTAGATGTTGTTGCAGTTGTATGAAATTGCGGGGAAAAACAATGAGGTAATGTTTTCCTAGAACAGCACACAGTGACACACATACCACTCAATTGATAAGTTTAAATTGTATAAACATAATGAGATGCACTTGCCAGAGTACACAAATCACTAATATCTTGTACTTATCCATTGTGGAGCCTTACTAAAGTTTGCATTTGGGTACAAGTAGGTATGTCTAGAGACTTCATAAAATCAACTGTGATTCTATGGGCGTACACCACAAGGTAATGTCCATGAATAAAAGTCCCCAATTCTGTTAGTTTGCTATTACAAGAACCTGGGGCACCAGCTGTGCATTCAGTCCATTTCATTTGTTCCTCTTCACAAAAACAATCTTGTGAAATGGTACCCTCCATTTTTCACATTTGAGTACTGTAAGAATAGTTACATGCTGAGACTGAATGTTTTCATTTTAAATTCAACCTGCACAGCTATCTTGGGCAAAATCAGGTCTAGCAGACATGTTCCACAAACAATTTAAGCATAGTCTGTAGACACTTAGCTGTAGCCAAGAGTTGGGGACAAAATGTAGGCGCTCGACTACTGTTGCTAGGTAAGTAGTTTTCTTCTGACTTGGTTTTTTTGCTTTTAGTATATTACCAAACTCACAAAAATTATACAAGTACAAAATGTTAACAAAAAACTGATACAAAAATTTGTTTTTTAACATAATGAAGCTCGAGGAACAATTATGTAAATTAACCCATTCTTCAATGGTTCAATGTAATACCTTTACATTTAGTTCAATAATTTACACACAAAAAGACAAAAGCAATTCTTTTCTCAAAAACAGCAGCACTGTGAGCATGCCATTTGCTGTTGTTGCCATTTATAACTGCAAGGTCTACATGCATTTCACATGCCAAAACAAGTGGGGAAAAGAATGCAGAATCCTGAGATCTTCAATTCTATTATGACCATTACTTTTTACAGTTTGTGATGGCAAATTGGAACTGCAAAAAATTTCACATTTGAAAATGATCTTAACTTTTATTTACCGACTCGCTGCTTGATCAACAGAGTGACATCTGGATAGTGCATTCTTCCCCCCTCCCCCCCAAAAAAGGGTGAGCAGAGTTACAAATTATAAACTGTTTAGGGTGCCACAAAAATTTAACATGAAAAAAATACATGACAAAAAACAAATCTGACACTTGGCAGATACTGTAGGCTTTCCTCTGCTGGTACATCATACACACATGACCATCCGCTGGCTCTTTCCTCTTCAAAGTTTAGAAATCCAATGGCACCAGTCCACTGGCGTAACTGCAGCTGCACACTTTCTGGTAAATTTCCAAGTTCCACGCGAAAGCACTCTCTCCCGAGTCCTTCACTATCATTGTCGTCCTCATTGGAAAAATATCCTTCAAACTGGGACAATCCGAGCTGCTCCCCCGCTGACCAACCCCCTCCCCCCCACGGAAAAACCTCCAGTTTTGGCCAGTCTCACCTCTGTGGTTCCACCTCCATTTGTTTCTGGTTGTTGTTTCCGTGTCCATACTGCGCGATGTTCATCGGCTGCATGGGAGCCGGGGCAGACACCATACACGTCGGGGAACCCGCATGGTATTTGTCTGTTGTGCCCAATTTTGAAAGGTCCATCATTAAATCCGGAAAATTAGGAGGAGTTGCAGGTGTGTTGGCTGGTGCGTGCACCTTTAAACAGGAAGAGATTAAAAGAAACATTAACATAAAAATATTACTTCAGACCACTTCTAAGAAATACTCCAGACAGCATCAGCAGCACGGTGTGGTTTCTTTCATAAGTTTATGAATATTTATAAGTCATTTCAAGAGCCATCCACGCACCAGTAAACAGGTTGAATGTCGGTCTGTGTTAATCTGTTCACGTCCAGCGATGTGAATACAAAAATAAGGGGAAAACGTGTTTTTCTTACCGAATGTCCACCTTGTTTGTAGCAGTGTGGGTGGCCGTTTGGTATCGGCGCTTCTTGGAAGAAAATACTTAATGCCGTCTGCAGAGAGAAAAAAATAAACCAATGACTGCCAAGGATTTAAATGGTTGAAACGCAGTAACACGCAATACAATGACCTCGCAATCACTCAGTGCACGCATGATGCAAGACACAACATAAACACAGGTAGGCCTAGGCCTATTGCGAAAAAAATCCGTCGCCATTATTGAGTGCAATTCTCACCTCAAACTGCCAGTGGGCCGTTTGAAGCAACTGCTTGGCAGTGTCCGCCGCACATCCAGCCGCCAGTACAAACTGGTTTATCATCACTTGTTCCTTCAGAGCGTCCATTTTGAGAAGATTTTCCAGCATTTATTCCGTCAACCGGGAAGGACAACAAGCCCAGAACAACACACTCTGGCAGCGCAGGCCGACAACGATATCGGCGCGGTTTATTGACACATGACGTCAGAGACGGAGTGGGGGTACCGGTCACTGATTGGCCAAGCCTCGAAGATGACGTGATCGCGCCATGTTTTTGAGGGGAGGTCCTGTTTATTGATTGGATCCTGTTTGTTATGGTTTTAGTTTGGAGAGACCATCTCGAATAAGGTTATGTTTCTGTGCCACACATCAAACCGTTAATTACATTTTTCTGTAAATAGAGGTAATAAGTTCACTGAAATGAACTTTATTTAATCCGATTCATGCTATTTCCTCTTTTTAGGACCAATCAAGCTTGAGTATACAGGAGCAATAGGAAACTCATCTAAAAGGTTTCTACGGGAAATTGTTACAGATAACGTAAAATTTAAGTTCACCGGATGGCTGGCCTATCGTTTGTAAACAAAATCTTGGCAGGGTCATCAGGACTAGTGCTGTTTTGCATGCGAAAGAGAAATGGGCACGCGGCCAAAACATCGGTCGGGTACAGAATTCCTCGAAAAATGTAAACAGAATGCATTTTAATGGCGCTCTATAGAAAAGCAGCTAGATAGGTATATCCGGGGTTGAGAGGCATATCGGATTCTCCAAGGTCTGAGTTTGGTAATCCCCAGCTAAGTGGTTTTGGTCATGATGCGATCCATAAATTATGCCTGGAATGAAATGAAGCTGTTTGTTTGGAACACACTACATTGTGAAGTTTCGGGGCTTTACTTACGTTTGTCATCGGTTATGATCGCCTGAAGGATAAAAATGATTGACGGTCGTTCCCTATACCTGTATAATTATCTTCAACAATGAGATGGTGTGAATCGTGTGTAAACTTAACAAGGAACGGGTAACCATCGCCCTATTCGCTCAGGAAACAGCGATGTATAAGGTCCAATATCAAAGTGTAACATTGAGACCCTATTATAATTGTCAATGGTCCATAGGTATTGTCCATTCATTGGAAAAGGAGTAGTTTCAGTCGTTTGAAAGAATCGATTTCGTTTGACAGTTGCTTATCCCTCACTCCCTGCGGTGTATATAAAATCATGTTGAAACTGAAGGATTGAGGATTGTTAGGGTGGAACAAAACAAATTGCCCACTGCAAAATGGAGAAAAATAGAAGTAAATGTTTGTCTTCTTGATCTATTTCGCAATTTCAAGTAGTTTTAAAGATATGTTTCTCAGCTAAGTAAAGATGGAATTTGGTTTTAGTCAATTTAGTTGAAATACAAATTTGAATAAAGCCACCCGCAATTTTTGTTCCTATCGTCTTAATCTTCACTGCGTAGATGAAGTGCGCCCTCTGCACACAGTGGATGGTGCGGTGAGCAACGACACTTCAAGTATAACGACTGTTTCATGCAAGAGCAGTACGTATGTGGTGCATTGTGGGAAACGCCATTTTGTTCCGTTTTCGGTCGTGTTTGTGTCGTGAGCTTGAGACTCAGAATCAGGTAGGCCTGGGTTCTTCATCTATAGTAGGCAACCTGAATGCTTTAAAATGGGAGGACTGACGAGTATACAACGATCAAATGTACAGGAACTGGACATTTCTGCATCTGCCGCGTACAGATATCCCCCAAAGACAGGTAGGCCTTCATCATTTGTCATGACCATGATGACTTTGCTTTAAAGTTTATGATTATTATTCTGCGTCACAGATCATCATGGTTATTATAACTTAATAAATATAACATACATGTAAGCCTTTAACCCCACTTGTGTGGCACGGATTCTCACTCCCGATCCATCCTTTGCCACACATCCGTATACGCAATTTCGTGTCGGCGTACTCGCTCTCTCAGTTGCTATCTTTAAAATAAGATCGTTGAACATTACGTCACTTGACCCCTCATCGTCTCCATGTCAAGACATCTAAACTGCTGCCAAAGTTTTGGAAGAGCCGTACATGTAGTATCTTATCGCTCAGTCCGTGTATTAGGCTACATATGTCTTGACGTGGAACAGCAGTTGAGACGATGAGGGGTCAAGTGACGTAATGTTCAACAATCTTATTTTAAAGAGGGTGACTGAGAGAGTGAATCTGTGAGATTGAATGGATAAAGGCAAAAAGACTGAAAAATACCTGAATAACGTGAGTGAAATCATTCAATAAATGGTTTTTAGAAAGCGGAAAGGTCAAGGATCATGTCCTTGTGCAAAAGAAATTTCGCCCGCGATGAAATTGCATGTACGGATGTGTGGCTAAGGATGGATTGGGAGTGAGAGTCCGTACCACACTAGTGGGGCTAGTAAGCCTTAGGCTTATTGCTGATACCACATGAGTGATTTTGCACAATGGTAGAAAGGTCTTGGGGGAAGGAAAAGGGGGCAATGTTTGCTCCTTTTTCCTTCCCATCCTAATCTTATAATGCCCAACCCTCAGAAATGGTGGTTCATTACCTTTGCTTTAGTACCCTGTTCCTATTGAATCAGGTTAACTCGTATCCAGGTCATCTTGTACCCACGTCAACTCGTACCCAGGACCACTTGTACCTAGGACAACTCGTACCCAGGACCACTTTTACCCAGGACAACTCGTACTCCGTACATTAGAATAGTGCTGCAGCCGAACTGCCAAACCGAACCAAAAATCGTTGAAGTTTGCACTTTTGAACTAAACCGAACTGGTCGGTTTGGATGTTTGGCTTTAACATTGGTAGGACACGGAATGCACCAAGAAACCATGATGAAAAGGCAAACATAATTACAGTGAAAAATGGATAACGAGTTGTGCCGCACCTGGGTGCCGCTCTGGCGCTCAGCACCCTGAGCACCAAGGCCTCTTAAAAGGGCACGGAGGCCATTGTCGAAAATGGATAAGGGCCCAAAGGCAAATTTGTCAGAACACAATCTGTTCAACCTCTAAAATGCATTCTTTGCTTTATTGTGGAAAAAAGTTGACACACGAGCAAATGTCCAATAAGCAGTCAAAACCTAACACCAGGAATTGTTATACTCTATGAACAGGGCATGAGTTGCACATAATTGATCGTCAAATTAATTAATTTTTTTTCCTTACACTTGAAGATGTGTGCACATCCCTTTTGTTGACTTTTAGACTTTCAAGTCACTAGCTGAATAATCTACATGTACATTGTATCCAAGAACCCTGCTGTCCCCTTAGGCTTCCTACCCTGACATGAAAACAAGAGCAATAAGGGTTAACAAGTTCTGCTGCCCTTTTACTCTTTTTTACCCTTTACTTTTTTAGCTAATGGCCTCTTAATACTGAAGATGGAAAAAAAATTAAAATGTCACTCTTCCAGTCCATCATTTACTGCACTTCATATGCAAACCAGTTTAGCCATTACAATTGGTTGAGAGCCCGTCACATGGTCATAAATACCAGTATTACATGGAAGATAAAAACATGGCCAGCATTCTAGCATTACATGAAATTTGGATGAAAACACAATAATTCAATGCTAGAACCAAATACTGATGAAAATGTATATATTTTTTTAAATTCTAAGTTTTATTTTAAAGAAAGCAGTAACAGTTAGATATTTTGCAGGTGATAGCAACGGTTTCGCTAAGCTGTTTTGTAAATCATGTGTTTGTTGCCAGCAATGCGGGCGGGAGATATATGTGGACGCCTGCATTGCCAGCGTGGCCGCATCTTCACCCGGCACAGATTTCGGGAAATAACGGTGCCGTCAACATTGCCAATCTCGGAGCTACACACGGTGACACCACCACTTATCCATGCATTAAAAAAATCCTATTTCTTGCATTTTGTAGCCAAGTTGCAGAGCTCCTTTTGAAAGGAACGTTTCAAACGTTCTTTCCGAGGCATTGTCGCGTGGCGTACAAACTGACAGCGGGCCGGTAGCGATAGGAAAACTTTGATTCCACGTGGCTGGTCCGCGTCCCTTGAAGCACGTACTATACGTGACGCAGATCAATGCGGAGTGCACTGGTGGTACATGTACTTGTGTATGCAACAATGTATTATAGGACACTCTGAATAGCTACACGTATCCCTAAGGGTACGGGTTTGTGCTTGCGCACGTGCAGCGGATCAATGCAAAAGTGTGCAATAGCCGTATATGCAGCAATGCATTATGGGACACCGCGCTTAGCAATCCGTAAGGGTGCGGGTCTATGCTCGCTATCACGCACGATGTTCATTGCTACATGAAGTTGAAAAGTCAACGCTACCCCCTCTGGACGGTCCATGTAGTGTACATGTGGCTTGGCCTGTGACGCAGGGGGTGCGCATAACTATAGTTAACGGCCAAAGTGTGCATAGGGCACAGCAAAAGTGGCCGTGGACAATGCAATTTTCCGAGGGGCATCAAGGCACTGGCCATCGTGGCCGTCGTGAATTTCAAACCCTGCATCACCACACTTTTTGCAGTGGAATGTACAATTTTAAGTTAGAATTCAGAGGAATGACGTTAGAAAAGCCACCAAATACAACAGTACTTGTTAAATCTCTTGAAAAAACTGTAAAAACACAGCACTTGGTGATGACCATGAACCCATGACACCATAGGCAAACTCACAAAAGGCAGTCTTTATCCGCCCGTGTATGGCGGCATGTGTGAGGCTACTATGGGTGGACGCCATATTGACCAGCCGCTGCGCATGCACACTCGGCAGTGGGCGTGAGGAAAATCGTGGTGCACTTCATCGCTCGGGGGTCAAATACCCCACACTCATGATCTGAACCTCAATCTTTCTAAGGTGTGTCTGACCCAAATTTTTTCAAAAAGGCATTTTTAGGGGTGTGATTTCAAGGCACGATGTGTGCATTGCAGAGTATACGCTTGTAGGAGTGCATCATACACGATGAACCATGGCATTTCGCTGGTTATCTGTAAAATAGATTTCTAAAGTATGAATTGACCGTTTGGTCTGGACAATACCATAAGATTGTGTGTTTTTAGATAGTTTGTCATTTGGAGAGAAATTCAGTGATGATCCGTGAAAACCATAAAAAAAAATTGGAGAGACTCAAGTTCTTTAATGATGTGTTGTGGCTCACCGTTGGCAGTGCGCCTTGTATGTATTGCGTGCACGCCCTATTATTGTAGCGCATCCTACTCGCTTTGTTGGGTGAGGGTTGGGAAATACAACTATGATAATGCTTGTGATGTCTTGAGAGTGAATTCAATGCATTTAATGTTTATTTGAAGTTAGTGTAAATTCGAATCGGCCAATGCCGGAAATGGTTTGCCCACTCTAAGTAACCAGACCCCCCCTCACACACATAAATAGGCATGAGTTAATGCAGACAATCCTGGACAGAATTGTTTGGACACTTGGCAATAGCCCCCTTCTCCCACTTTCCCGGTCAATGTTGTCATGTCCATCCAGAGCGCAGATCATGCGTATAGACCCAACATTGAAAGGGGTCTGGGGGTTAGAGGCCCAGCGAGAATCATCCAGGATTGTAGACTACAGACTAACGTGAGGCTAGCTCAGGTTGGACTCCTCCAGTCTTATGACATTATGATTGACGTCCAGGTTCTACAGCCAAAAGTTTACAATTACAGTGTACCATTTATTCATGGTTGAAGAAACCAATTTCACATAGGCCTACAAAGGCTTAAGTCATGATTCATTTTGTCCTTTTGTTTTATGGGACTGGTGGGTTAACTAATTTCCCAAACCATGGCCCGTGGGCATCAACTCGGAAGTTGGCCTAGGCCTAGCCCCAGTCTACTGGACTACCTTCATATCCTTGGCCCCGTGACTACCCTCCAAAAAGTGGAAAAGCTTCCTCTGAGCTCTGTTTTTCTTTCATGGCTACATTCACCCCATCTGGTCATTTGGTTTCTATTTGGTCGGCCAACACAGCCATTCATTTACAGCATCAATTCATTCTCGATCGTTTAATGAGTGATAAACACGGTCGGGATCTGTTTGGTCCGGAAATCAGACAGCGATAAACACGGTGATTCCAACTGCTGTTTTATCAGTGACTTCGTATTATGGAGCCCTTTGTACATGTGTGTGTGAACATTATGAATGTGTTGGAAAAAAAAAAAAGCATTTGTTGGGTATTTTCATGGGTCAAATTTCACAGACAGGAACAGACGGAAAATTGCCCATATTGACAATGATTGATGAATTAATGACCAGATGGGTTGAATGTAACCATATAACAAAATGGGGCTTATAGGAAGCTTTTCACAAAGTTTCCGGGGGGGGGATAGTCATGGGGCCAAGGATATGAAGGTAGTCCTGTAAACTGGTCCCAGTCTGGGGCCAGCGTAGGCCTAACCTTTAATGTTTTGTGGTTGTAGACCCTTTCCATCCGTAACACAATATACATCCACCAGCCGCTAGGCACACAAGCATCCATGCTCATGCTGCTAGACTGGTTCCTGTTCCCTAAGTCATATACAAAGTCTGCAGACATCTGTCAGGTGTTAATCATGGGGATGAGGACGAGTCGACGTTACTGCGTGTGTGTAAGGACACAATACTGGCTAACAAAAATGGGACACATAGGTAAAAATTCAATCTAGTGAAAGGTGTTTAATTTATTTTT